CTCTGCCCCTGCTCTGGGTTTGGTTTTTGTATTATTATTTTGTATTTGAATTTTCCTAGTAAAGAACTGTTATTCCTATTCCTATATCTTTGCTTGAGAGCTCCTTATTTTCCAAATTATAATAATTTGGTGGGAGAAAGTTTATGTTTAGAGAAAGTTATGAGAGGCTCTTGCCATCCTTAGCAGACACCTGTCTTTCAAACCAAGAGAGCCAGTGGAAGTTTACAAAGGCAGGGTCTGTAATTTTGTCCATTACTGCTAATTATTACACTCTTCTTATGACAGTCTATCATTACACAAGACACTATTTATACAACAAAAGATCACAAAGAGCTAAAGCTTAGAGAGGGATGAAAGTTATTGAGGTCAGGTGGAAAAGTCATACAGGAGAATAATTTTCCAGGCTTGCATTAAGTTCATTATTTTTCCTTTTCTCCACATGGAAAGTTGTGATTAAAAACTACCCTGCACTCAGTTCTGTCACTCTACTATTCATTCTCCATATTTGAGTCTCCAGATTATTTTGTGGAAATGCTGTTTAATTTACACTTTTAGATCACTACCATTTCAAAACTTATCCTAATTACCTCATCATACACCTTAACATGTAAATATCTGCAATGTGTCCACTTGAACAGTTCAGTAAAACAAACAAAGAGCAAAACGTGTGTTTTCTGATGATGCATTTTGAATTAACATACTTGAAAAATAACTCTCTACCTTTGCCTGGCGTTTCCACACTTTGAAGAGAACCCTGTAAAGACAGAAACAGAGGACAAAAAGTAATCAGTCACCTCAGAAAGGACAGGGTAGAAGTTTTAATGGTTGTAGGAGTAGCACTCATGGAAAGTACAGTGAAAAGGGGGAAGGATTTAGGTTTAATGTTCTGGTGACACAAGACATGGCTGGGATTCAGAGCACCTGGACCTCACACAAGCCACCTCAGCCCTGACTTCTGACAGTATTTGGGCATGGCAAGGTACAAAGTCTTGACATCCTTTCAAAGGTGAGGAGAACAAGTGCCCTCCACTCCACCCACTCCTGGGCCAGGCCAGTGGAAATAGCTGTGATCTTCAAAGCCTTTGGGCAAGCAGCTGGCCAGAGGTGGCCAGTGGGAAATGCTGAGTGAGGAGAGACCTCCAAGTGCTCTCCCATCAGGGGAAGTGACAGGCACTGATGTCCTGACCCTGCTCATCAGTGACAGGAGCCAGGGGAATGACACGAAGCTGTGCCAGGGGAGGTTAAGTGGATATGAGGAAAAGATTTTTCACCCAGAGGGTGATCAGGGGAAATGGTCACAGCCCCAAGCCTGGCAGAGCTCTGGAAGCATTTGGCCAACTCTGTAATGCACGAGGTGGGATTCTTGGGGTGTCCAAGTTGGACTTCAATGATGCCTGTGGGTCCCTTCCAACTCAGCATACTCCATCATCAGACTTGCATCAACCTAAGTGACACAGAAATTAATAACAAATCTTGACCAGAGAGACTGAAAGGTTAATTATGCATTTCAGTATTGCCTGTGGCTTGCATTGTTTGAACCCCACACCCCTGTAAGGTTTTCTGCCCTTTAAAGTCATGAATCCCTTTGCAGTGGGCTGAGAATGCTTTGTGTGTGTACATATGTGTTCAGCATGATGCTCCTTAAAAATGACAGGGCATGCAGAGGTGGCAGAAGAAACACAATGCTGGATATGCACTGTTCCTCTGGCTCCCAGCTTGGAGCTGCCAGCATTTGTCTGGTGAAGATGAACAGGAGGAGTCAAATGCTTCCTCGAGGGGAGAAAAGCAACATCCAGGCTGAGAATTATGTTTTCACAATCTTCATAATGCAGTGAGACAAATGGGAACAGAGACCTTTGTTCAATTCCCTCAAATTCTGGAAAGTAATCAACCTTTTGGCACAGTACTTATAATTTCAACATAGTGTAGCATGCTTAATATATAGTGGATTAGTGCCTGTTCTGGCAGGATTTGATCTCCTAGGACTTTTTTGTGAGTTGCTGTAAGAAAGGAATGAAAAAAAAAAGAAAAAGAGATATGAAAAACATTAATTGTGCATCAGGCCCAGAGCCTCCCCTGAATGGATTTTAAAATCCCAGGGTTAGGTTAGTTAGAGACTGAAAAAAATCACATTTACAAAGAGATGCAATCAGTTAAGGAGGAACCAGCACTGGTGCCAGTTGCTTTCATAATCTCTTAACCACAGCACAGGAATGCACAGTACTGGCAGTGAGGAGGCAGTAAGGAGGTAATAAGTACAATTTAATTAAAGACAGAAGATTGAAAGTAAGTTTCTTTGTTGTATTTTTGTTGGTTTTTTTTTTTTTTTGGTTTGTTTTTGTTTTTAACCAGAATTAAACAGAAGCACATTCAATTTTTTTTTTTCCAACTAGGCAAGCACACGTGTACAGATATGTGTAAATAAACATATACAAACTATGTCATTTACACTGGGAGAAGTAAGCAATGGTTTCCCTGAGGCTTTATGTGCACTTGTGCCAAATGGACATGTTAAAAAAATATTCCACACAAAACCACACCATCTATTACACTAAAGCATCAGGAAAGCCTGTGAAAAAGCAGTTAGGATGTTTTTCTGGCACTTCTTCCTTAGCTGGGGTGTAATTCTGCAGTGCTTGAGATATAAAAGGTAGTCTCAAAAACGTCACTTTATTTGTGGGGCAGTTTACCTGTAATATGAAAAAAGCCTCTCTTCTTCCAAACAAAATATTTGGTACAACACTGCTGAGCATAATAGAAACAATTCAAGCAATATGACAAAATACAATAATATTACAGCATTTAATGGTTGTTTTTTTTTTTTTCAGTACCCAAAATTCACATAAAAAAATGACCCTACCATTCCATATGAGTTAAAATCCAAAAGAGGTTTGGGGGAGTTGGTAGTCCATTGAATAATTGGCTGCTGGGTATTAATTTTGACTCCATATGTTGGTACAGACAGGAAAGCTGGCCAATTGTCTTTGTATAAACATTGACAATTAGAGATGCAATCTGATTTGTTACATTTATCTACTGTTCTACATGTGAGGTAGCTGTGTCTAATGTGCAATGACTGTTTCCACAAAATGGGACAGTGTTCAAGTCACAAAACAAGCAGGAATGTATTTTACTGCTTTTATGACATTTATAGTTCAGCTGCTGAGAAAGATGAAGCTTTTTATGGAATCAAAGCCAAAGCTTTTCTGGATTGCTGAGGTCTATTGACTGTCCTGGCAGCTATTTCTCAAAGGACTAAAAAGCCAGCAGCAGCATTTGCTGGTGCAGGAACAGTTGTGCTTTTTTTATTTTTGCCTTTTTTTTTTTTTTTCTCTCCACTCGTTTGAAGTCAGTTGTTAGTCCAGCACAGAGGGAGTGAGAGGGACAGGGGTGTCAGCAAAGGTCACAGGCAGCTTTTACAGGAAGGCTTCAAGGGACAGACAACCAGCACAGCTAACCCAGCCTGAAAGGCAGCACCGAGAGAACAAAAACTCAGTAACTTCAAAACTTGAAAGCATGAGTGACAATCTGGTCAGTAGTCAGGAGATCAGGCAGCTCCTTATTGAATATTAGGACTGAAAAAATATTTGGGACTGTTCAATCAGGGCACAGACGTTCAGACGAGGCTGTTGAGGAACAATATCATTTTGCTCATTTCAGAGGAGCAAACAGTATCATAATTATCATTATTATCATTATTATCATCATCATCATCATCATCACTTCTCAGCCTCTGGAGATCACAGCCAGGACCTGCACACACAGAGGAGGAGAGGTGCTCCTTGCTCTGAAGGGTTTATAATCTAAGCAGGTAAAACTGAAAAAGGGAAGTGCATTAATCCCTCCATGGGAGGAAGAACGTGGGAATTGTTTTAGGAGAAGCTGTAAAGATTGGAGACAGTCTGTACAGTGGAGTTGGAAATTTTGACATGATGGAGAATGAGCAATAATAGAAAAGAGGGAACATTTAGAGCAGAGGTTTTTTTGTTTGTTTCTTTCTACAACAAGATAGATCAGCTCATAATTTAATTATTTGTCTATTAATGTCACTTCATCTCGAAAATAAAGTCAATATTTGCAAAAGAACGGCTCTGAAAATGAGCAGAAACAAATGTGAACATCCCCAAAAAACCTAAGACTTGAAAAAGATGGCCTGTACTCTTTGGGATTTATCCCATTATGCAATTCTGCATGGCACGTGGGGTTTTGACTTAGGATGAGCCACACTAATAGGAACTGATTTGTCTCTTTGACCACTGAACCTATTTCTCTGCCCAAATTCAGAGAGGATGGGGCTGAAAATGGACCAAGGGATATTTAAACCCAATATAAGAGGTAGATAACACATTGGGTTCACAGGATTGACCTGAACACTAAAAGAAAAATACACTAAATTTTTCTTACATAAAAAAGTTTGTAACAAATTAATCTCAATACATTTCTTCTGCTCCAATTCCTTTCTAAAAAAAGCTCTGCTACTTTCCTCTCTATCTTTTAAGAGCCAGCTCTTTGTCTGTCTCTTAAGAAAGATTCTGGATTGACAAAATACTTGTCTCAAGGACAAGACATTGATCATCCTGGTGCCTCTTAAGAGAGTCTGGAGTTGAACAGAAAAGCAAATCACATGAATCCCTAATTACTTCCTTTTTCTCTTCCTTGACAGTATTTGCCCTCTAATATCCAAGAAGAGCTTTTCTTAAACTGATATTCCCATTTGATTCCACATCATGCCAGATTAAAGGTGTGCCAGCACAGATCCATTTATGCAAGAATTTACCCTCGACAGTGACTTCTAAATATTTAGAAATAATATAGAAAATAATTTAGGATCTATTAAAATATTTAGGATAATATAGAAGCAAGATTTGCAGTGCAGCATGAACTGGAAGGGAAGAAGAGAAGCTCCTTAAGTGAATCACCTGGTCAGGTCTGAGCAACAAACCAGAACCAGAAACCCCTTGGTTCTTCCAGTCTTTGCTGCTCTTACACATCTCACAAGCCATGGGGGAAAAAACCAAATCAAAACCAGCAATAAAGAGAAAGGATAAAAGTCTTGCAGGCAGGTAATGGTGTGAGTGCATCACATCCAGTCTGCCATGGATTTGCTGTGAAAAGGAATGAGAAGAGAGCATGAAAGGAGAGGAAAGAATTCCTCAGGAACATTTTTTTTCTTTTCTTTTTTTAAAGTGTGAAGAGGGAATTCCCTTAGGGTGTGAAAAAATTATCACGACTTACAGTAACAGACAATAAATCCAAGTGATGAATGGCTTGATATTCAGATTTGCTGAGTACCTGCATGTCCAAGATGCTGACTTGAAAGGAGCTTTTGGGTGCTCAGAACTATAAATCAGGTCCTGGTGACCCATCTGAGGTCATACCAAAGCAGCTGATGACCAATCTGAGAGGGATGCTGCCCTCCAAAGTCCCAGTTCATTTTACAGAAACCCCTGGAAAACCCATTGCAGTGTTTTAAGAGCATTTCAGCAAAAATCAGGACTGCATGATGCTGATACTCTTTTGCATAAATAGCAGGGACATTTCAATCTGAAAAAAAAACATTATTTGAATGACAGTTTTGGAAGATTTTTTTTTTTTTTAATTATTGACAACCTGTACTAAATATCTGAAAATCTAATTCTCTGATATCACACGATTTGGTAAATAGGTGATGTGGCAGAGAAAGGATTTGTGCATGGAGCAGGAACAAGAAAGAGCTGGAGGAGAATCTCAGTTCCAGTTAAACACATGGCAAATCTTCTGTTGCTCTTCTGTCACATCATAGATAGCCAAAATCCTTTTTTTTTTTTCTTTTTTTTTTTGTTTACAGTACCTCTACCCAACACTTATCAAAGGGGAAAACATGTAGCAAGACAGCAAAATGGACTTGATCAATCAAAAAAATCAGTGATAGCCATTCAAGCTCCAATTTTAAAGAGAAAAATTGGGCATGGAAATGCATCTTTTACCTGTGCTTTCACCAAAGCATGGAGTTTCCTGACTGCATCAGTAATTTCTCTGGTTTCCACAAAACACAGCACACTGCAGATGGATTTAGCTGCTTCAATCACATTATCAACATTGTTCTGTTGGTAGGAGAAAAAAAGGGGAAAAAAAGGAAACAGAAGACACACAGCATTTATCAGAAATAGCACAAACTTCATGGCAGTGGGGGTGTAGAAAATGCTTCTCTTGCAAATAAAATTCAAACTGGTTTATTCTGGCTGCACCGAAATCACCAATATTTTCCTGAGGATAACATCATTTCTGTTGTCTCCCACAAAATGTATGTTGGTCAAAACCACAACAAATTTGGTAGCAAAGAATGATTTTAAGGGAAAACTTTGGTTTGGCTGAATTCCAGGAGTGAAAAAAAAAAAACTTCTGAGGGGTCCTGGAGCCAAGGGATTCATGAGAATTCTGAGGTTTTGTGAATTTATCCTCACTATTGTCTCCTACCCATTTCTGTGAGAAACAGAAGAAGAGCCATGTTCCTCCTAAAAATAAATACTGGGTGGGAGGCTGCACCATCTGACTCCTGTGGACTCAGAACTTTTGCAACTATTTTTCTGCAAAATTATAGATTTAGTTAAAACTATGGAATATTATAATAAATTTAGATATTTAAATATTGCCATATTAAAAAAAAAAAAAATTCTAGGTGAAATACTTTGGGGAATTAAAAAAAAATTGGATCCCCAAAAGGAGGAAAACATAAATCTTTAAATAGCAAGTACTCTATGTTCAGGAAAATAAATTAAAAAAAAAATTCATGGGCTTTCTGCAGGTTATATCACTTCATTAAACCTTAAAATACATTCTGTGAACAAGCAGAAGCTCCTCTATAAACACTCTCCATGTTTCTGTACTGATAAAAGTTCCTTTTAGTGCACTATAGCAGGTCAATATACCCATAAAACCATTCCTCTAACTCATGCATTTCATGCCTGAAAAATAAAAATTGTACCAAGATGAGCTTTCTGTTTTCAGGCTTAAGGTCTATGCACGGGCTGTACTGAGAAGGTTAACACCTGTCATTATTATAAATAAATATAAAAATATATCGAGCTGACTAATTCCACATTAACTGCTTTGAGCAGCACTAAAGCAGGAATGAGTGCCATGAAATATCCACAAATATCTGCTGGTCTGATGCTTTGAAACTGAAATTGTTGGGGTTTTTATTTAATAATTAAGGGCAGAAACACCTTTTATACTGCAGGTTCTAGAGAGGAAAAGGCTGACTGTGATCTCTTGAGAATTTTAGACCCTTTAGAGCCTTGGTTTACTCTGAATTGTTGCAGAAATAAATGAATATATTTGTGTGTGTGTGAATATTAAAAATTACTATATAGAGTTTGTAATTCACATTAAATATCATTCCAATTTTGCATTTGATTTCAGTAAGTTTTAATTTAACATTTTTCTCCTTCACAAGCAGAGATGTGTTATTAGAAGAAGGAATTTTGTGCCTATAAATACATTTATGCAGGGTAATTTCTGAGCAGTAACATGGAATAAACACACAAAAGTAACCCTTGAGTAGAGAAACAACTCTCTGGGTGGAGAAAAATAAAACAAAACCAAAAACCTAAACCCACCCACAGTTTATATATTTTTGTACATACATATAAATGTTATTCCATAGTGAGAATTGGTATCTTGAGGAATGTCTCAATTTCTGTTAAATATGCTATTCTGTTTCTAGATAAACTACCAGAGTATTGATATTTATAGAAGCTACTTTACCATACACTTGATTTTTATGGTAGCTCAATGTAAGGAGCACAGTGCAGATGAAGAAGAGTAAGCAAATAAAATTGTGTAATACTGAATATTACACATGCTGACTTCTTCCTCACTATTCCTCTGCTGGGATATTATCATGTAAAGAGTTTTCTTTTTTTCATCTGTAAATATATTACATTGATTATTGTCCCAAAGAAGGGAAGACAGAGATTTTGTTTCTTACAAAAATTTTATCTCTTGAAATTCCAAAAGAACCACAGTCAACAGCTCGTAATGTTTTCCCCCTTCTACATATTTAAATACAGCAAAACCTTAGAAGAATGTTTTGGAGTTTCAAAAATTTATATGATTTAAAAAAAAAAAAAAGCTACTTCACTCTAGACCTTCTACACTCTGTATAAAAAATTTACAAAGTCCTCCCTACAGTAACAGCACATTTTGAATGGATTTCAAAGTGAGCTGCATTTAAAGTGATTATCAGGCCAATCAGAATTGTTTGTCTGAGAATGACATTTCCATACTCACAGTTCAACCCTAACAGCACCAATCCCATCTTTGTGCCAGACATTTTAATTATCATTTCTAAATTCTTGTTTTGCAGATTATGGATCTCAAAACTACTTTTCCATTTATTTCCCATTATTACTAATTAGATTAATAATGATAGTGGGCTTGCCCCATAAGTCAAAGGTACTAGGATCTCCATATCTATGGCAGAATAAATTTGCAAATAGGTAGAAACATGTGAAAAATATTCTAAAAAATTCAATTCAATTCAATTCAATTCAATTCTATTCTATTCTATTCTATTCTATTGTTATATTTTTATTATATTTTTATTTTATTTTTATTTAAATATTTTATTTTTTTTTCACTGAGGATCTCAAGGTGTGTCTGGCTAAAACTGAATGTTTAAGGAACTTCCAGCTGAGCACAGAACTTGAGCAGTTACTTAATTTACAACGTGTGAGTAGCTCCCAGTGCCTTGAATTCCAGAGTGTGCTGAAGGTGGATTGTGGTGTGCCAGAAAAGAGATTGTGAAGAACAATCCCAGTAAAGGGAATGGGAACAGCTTGGAAAAGTGACAGAATTATTCCTGTGCAGACTTGGGAAAAGGGGCACTTATAATGACCCCAATTTTAAATCTTCTTTAAGCAATCTAATCAGAAGTTAGATCAAATAAATAAACAAGGATTCAAAGACCAAATAAAAAGTTCTCACTTTTTTTGCTTTGTTTCCTACATATTTATGAATATTATTCATTACATTAGGGCTCCATAATTTTTTTTGAGCCACTCATTAAAGCAAATCATACTTCATGATTCTGGGTTTGAAAAATCTCCATCCACTGCTGCCTCAGAATGAAAATATCCATGATATGAAAATCTGATATGACCTACATCATTAACTCTTTGAAGCAATTCAGATGAACTTTATTGAGTGGCCTTGAGTAGAAAAGACCTTATTAAAAAAAATAAACTGCAGAGAAGTTCAGCTCTAGACACACAAACACACATGTATTTGCTGCATGGGTATGAATATTTGAAAAATGCACTTCCTCCCTTTATAAAAAGTTAATGGTGTCAAGAAATTGCTTACTCAATGTAAAAATCTTTAGCAAAAATCAAATTTAGGAAAGCTTCATGGTAGGTCTGAGGAATATCTGCACAGCATCAGTTGCAGAGGGTGGATTGCAAAGCCTCATTAATGTTGAGGTTATGGCTTTTTTTTGAATTTAGAATCCTCTTACTTCAGGCCCTAAAATTTCAAGTGAATGTAAATAACTACCCTGGTGGGTCTAGTTCAGTCAAGAAATGTGCATTTGAGCTTGGGGATCTAACTTTTCCAAATGGTTATGACTGCATCACATTTTATACACAAAACACTTCCCTTGGAGATGATGCTTACAAAGGGAAATTCAGCAAATACCTGCACAGCACCAGCCCCAGAGCTTCCCTTTGTAGCTGAGCACAGTTCAACAGCCTCTAAAATTTGTGGTTTGCATTTTGAAAAAGCATCCAAGATTTACACAAAATGTAAAATGTTTGTATATATATTAATGATAGATATTGATGTTTTCATGTATGTGTCTGGATGTTTATGGGCATTTCTATATGTGTGCATAAATATATACATGTAAAATATATATGTATAAAATTTGTATGCAAATGTATGTTTTCTGGCTATTCAAAACAGAAATAATAATGGACCAAGAATATCCAGGGAGATTAAATTCTGAACTTAAATGTAGGTGACAGAGTTCTGAAGCACAATATTCATTTTGTGCTGCAACATATATTTCAAAGAAACCCATAATTTAGCATAATGACTTATAACTCTGGAAGGGATGCAATGGAATATCTCCATGCTACATCATTATTCTTTGATTTTTAGAAGTCTTTTGTTCTTTCCAGTTTTCAACCCTAGAAAATCAGTTATCATGCCAACTAAAAAGTCAGATCAAATCAGTTACCATGCCAGCTGGGAAGTCAAATCAAATAAACAAGTGGTTCCTCCCAAGCTATGACTCAATTTGTCCTTTAGACATTTGTCCTTAAAACATTGGACAGCAGAGAAGATTTCCTACAAGATTTTTTTCCTTCCAGCATGGAGCATTCAGTTGGCAGCCCAGAATGCTTTCAAATGAAGCTCTTGGGAGTTTTGCTGGCTAAATCTAATCCTTCAAACCACCACGTGTTTTTATATATACATATATATGCTAAATATATATGCTAAATATGTAAACATCAGGCTTGGGGGTTTGCAAAATCAGGGAGAAATTTTGCAGATCCATATAATACATTATACCTCTACTAATTCCAGGTATTACATTGCCAAGCCAAACAACTCTGGTTTTATTTACAATTTCCTTGACACTTAGAAGCAGTCACCTTTGATATTTTAAATCTGTTGCACTTTCTTCCTAACCTCAAACCAAGTTTTATTAAGAGAATTTATATCCTTTCAAAGTCAGATTAAGCAGTCTTAATTAAAAGTCTTCCTTAATTGCATCTAAGACAGAATAATAATTAGATACCTTTCATGTAGAAGTTAATGCTTTTCTGGTGTAACAAACTGAGAATAAATACCTCATTTTGCAGCAGATATTCCACTTGACCTCTGTAATTCAGAATAACGGAGACAAGGTTCTGCCTAGGGGCCAGAAAAAAAAGGAAACAACATTAAGTTAATAAGAGTTAGATAAAGAGAACAGGTTTGGGTTTGTTTTGGTTTTTATTTTTTTTTGTTGTTGTTGTGGTTTTTTGTTTGTTTGTTTTGGTTTTTTTTGTTTTGTTTTTATTTTTTCCTACATTCTAGACATTTGAAATAATTAGACAGTGATTTTATTTTGGTATAAAATAAAGCCAAGTGTGCATTTAGACATCGTGCAGCTGAGCCTGGATGTCTCTGGGTTCTTGGTAGTCATTTGTCACAAAGAATAGATTTGTCACAAAAAAAGTCTACTTATACATGAAGATACAAATTTCCCAAGTTAAAGAACTCCAATAGGTGATTTGGTGTTTCAATGTCTGTTGAAATTCACTTCCCATTTATTTTCCTCTATGGTTAATCAAGTGGTGAAATATTGCCTTAAAGAAGGATGGACTCAAGTACACGCTGCATTCTAAAGGTCTTTTATGATTTGATGATCCAACACCTTCCTTCTCAATCCCTTCACAGATTTAAATTGCACAGAATCAAATAAAATATCTGCACAAGATCTGGAAAATCTCGACACTCCACAAGTACAGGCTAAGCCACAAATAGAAAAGTGTGTTCTAAAATGGGGCAGCATTGCTTCATAATCCATGAAACTTCATTTGCAGGCTCAAACTGGTTCAGAAATTCCTTTTCCACGGCATTTCCTAAGCTGGGAATTTGTTTTGCTCCTGCAGACATCCCACACATCACTCTGTGGTTCCCTGCCTTGGCCATGCTGCAGGAGCTGCCACCAAATTTGTACAGGCAGATTGCTGAGTTTTACCAAAGCTTCATTAAATTAATTAAGATTATGAAGAGGAGCATGCACCTCTCTACACTAAACTCCTCAACTGATGCTTCAGCTGTAAATCTCCCACTTTTGGAACCACAGGCTCTGAGTGCTTTCCCCAACAAATAACCAAATTGAGATTTTTGCTCTTAAGAAGCATTTGTGTCATTTTCTGTCTTCCAAGCACTGTGAAATTCTTGCTGTTTATTTGTCAGCTGGAATAAAACCAGAACAGATGCCTGGGATTGCTGAGGTATTTTAAACCTTAATTCCCAGTTTTACACCTTGCCCAGCCCACTGATTAGTAAAAGGGACACATTATGACCTCGATGGCCATCAGAGGTAGTTGGGGTTTGCACATGTTTGTATAAAAAAGTGGAAATTGCAATTTAAATTCTCTGTTGTTTGTTTTACTCTATCACTTTATTCCTGCCTTTTAAATTCTACTCTAATATACCACACCTATCTTTTGTTAAGGTTTTTCCTCTTCAGGAGGCTTAGAAGAAATTTCCCCCCCACTCTTCCATCCCTATTGCAGTCTGGCACTGCAAGTCCCAAAAATATTTTGATTTTTTCCAGCACTTCAAAGCAAACCAACTATTTACAGAGCAACTGTGTGTGTGTCCTCATGCATTTTAGTCCAGGCTAACTGAGCAATCAGAATTTAGAATTGCAACTGCAGCCCAAAGTCCAGGTTCCATGGTACATGATTAGATTTTCATTATCTGAAATTTTTTTTCATTTTTCATTTTTTTCATTTTTCATTTTTTCAATTTCATTTTCATTTTTTTCATTTTTCCAAAATATTTTTTTTTCATTATCTTCTTGTCATGCAAGAAGAGGAGACTTGACTGCACTGAAATAACACACAGGACAGAGAAAAAGTTAGTTGGCCTTCCCTGGAGATACCAACTATTCCCTTCCTCCTGCAGGTAGTTCACCCCTTCCAGCTTTTTATTTTAATCTGCACTGGCTTTATCTGGCCAGGCAGTTTGTGTGTGGAGCAGCTGCCTGGAAATTCCTCCTGTAATCCTGTTAAATCATAGCTAATGCAAGTTGTTGCTCTGCTTTGACTGAGTTTTCAGGCATAACATCTTTTTCACAGCTTGAAAATAAATCAGAATATATGAGCTTACCTCCTTGTCTTCTTCCATACAGGTGGGCATGTTTATTAGCATGGTTAGTCAAAATGCAGCTTACAGAATAATTTCCTAAATTACAATGCTAGTTCAAAAAAATTAGCATATTTCCCATCACTTTATTGTACCCTGGAGAATTTTCAGTATAAAGTAGCCATAATTTTGCATCATTAATAGGAAACCAATCCAGCAAGTTGTAATAATGATTGAAATATCTCTGCTAATGCTGTCCTGAGTCTCTGTGTGCCAGAGAAATAATAACAGACACATCTTCTCACACATTCAGGCTTCATACCTGTGCACCATCATAGCTGGGCACAAATATGGCAAGCCTAACCAACCCAGGAACATTTAATGCTGCTTTGATGTCAAGGACATTTTTTTTTTTCAGCTTTTAGCAAGTCAATAAGGTGCAAGAGTTTTGAAAATGGAATAAGAAAAGCACAAACAAGAGAGTCAGCTCCTGCCCTGCAGATATCCTGCTCCTGAGTTTCATACACCTGTCACCTATAAAATACAAATACATATAAAATACATGTCTTCTACTGATCTCTTTACAGCAAGGACCAGAATTTTGGAAATTTGGGCCATGCTCCTGGGAAACCAGATGGGTCCTGAGTAAGCACCAGGTTCCCACCTCCAAGGAGTCTCAGCCCCTCTGTTCTCCTCCATCTGCCAAATGGCAGCTGTGTCACCTCAGTTCACAAAGGAATTTGTGGTGAAAAACATCACAAAAAGTGTCAACAGCTTCCTTATCTAAAAGTGGAATTTATCTAAATGGAATATAATTAAAGGTGAATGAGGACTCTATCTCATTTAGTGATTGTCCATCACAGGTTGGTTTTACAATCAGCTTCCCCTTGACTGCCACGTTAAAGGCTTGTCTCCATTATCTCCATCATTTAGCCTCCATAATAAAAAAAGAAGTTTAAAAATCACTGAACTATGAAAATCTAGTCCTAACGAAGAGCAAACCTATTATTTTTACAGCATTTAATCTCAAAAATTCTCTAACAGCATGAAAATGATATCACCTTCAACCATGGGAATCTTTGGGAAATATAAAACCTTTAATGGAAACTTCTGTAATATGAGAAGGAGACAATTGAGAAAAAAATTACACAGAGCCAAAAAAACATTGATTTTTTGCTAAGCAACAACTAAAATCTGAAAAGAAAAAGTCAGAAATATTGAACCAATTGTCTCTCTGATATCATTCCCATCCCCAGTAGTTCTCAGAACTGTCCTTTGCTGCAAGGAGGGTTATTACAAACACAAACAAAATTACAAACACTCACAGTGCTGAACACCAGCTTACCAAAGCAGTCTCCAGGCACAGATGTCTCCTAAGAGCTCATTCACACCGAACCTCCTTTGGTCATCCCCAGCCTGTGGAACAGAGGGGTGTGGTGGCATCGATTATTCTGCTAAAGCAGAGTGCACACTGCTGACATTTCCATGGTATTTTCCAGTGCTCACTGCAGCTTTCAAGGCACTGGATCTGCCTCCTCTGTTGAGTTTTTTGTTGTTTTTTTTTTTTTCTGGTTCCCATTCCTGCCTGGGAGCAGAACCTCTCCTTTCAAGTGTAACATCTTTTTCACAGCCTTACCCAGCTTGAAAATCTATCAGGACATAAGAGCTTGCCTCGTTGTCTTTTTGCATGCAGGTACCAGTGGCCTGTGACAAGCATGGCCTGGAGCTGGGGAAAATCTCTGTGACTTCTTCCCCCTCCAGAGCTGCTCCTGCTCTTTGCCATTAGCAGTAACATGAAGCAACTCCATGGCCTGAAGCTTTCAGAGCAAAGGGGTGATCAATAATTCACTTTGAGACCTTAAAATGTCACCCTCCCTGCTAAAACCCTACTCTAGGGTCCAAAAATTCTTTGAGATGCTGAATGTTTTCTAATGGCCTGAACTAAAAAAATCTCTCTAGAAAGCCACAATATTTAAATAATGGGGAAGTCTCCACCTTCTCATCATGATGGGCCTCTGACTTCTCTTGTCTGTGATTATTATTAACCCTTAACATTATGTCTGGCAAAACATTAACACTGATATATATGCAAATAAAAAAAAATTTTTTTGAATTCTCAGGAAAGATCACTGTCTGCTTTAGCCCAAAAATCCTTTTATGCAAGTGAGGTTCATGTTAGAAATCTGTAAGTATTCTTTGCTGCTTGTCCACTACAAAGATTAAATCTTTCCTGTGATAATCAAAATGTGGGGACGTGTGAAATTCTGAAACAAATAGGATAGGCAGAGCATTCCCTGGAATTTCAGACAGTGATAAATCTCATGGCTTAAAAAAACCCAAATCTAATTAAAGGTACCCACTAACTGAAAGAACTGTGATTCCATGTAAAGCCCTTGGCCAAATTTCTTGCTTTTAATTGCTCAGGTGAAGAACATTTCCTGCTCTGAGTACTTCATGATAGAATGCCAGCTTCCCAAAACAGGAAAAAAAGCAAGTATTTGTCTTTTTTTTTTTTCTTTTCTTTTACAAAGGAATTATGAACATTTAGTTATGAGCCAAAGTTCAAGAAGTGTCTGGTAAAAAAAGAACCAAAAAAAGCCAAAAAGAGTTCCTCATTGCTTGCAAGCATCCACTTATATTGGTTACTAAACAAAACAGTAAATTGCATTACAACCAGATATTTTTAACAATGCAACCTGAACTCAGCAGTGTTGTGTAAGGTGAGCAAAAGTCATGAAGGAAACCTCATGTGCCCCTGGTGTCCAGCTGGGCTTCCCTAGCACAAAAACCAGATTTGAAGTTTCCTAAGAGATTCCTAAACATATAATTGGGTTCCAGTTTTGATAATCTGTAGTAGTAGATGCTGAGCTAGAGAAGGAAAATTAATTTTTTGTCTAAAAACTGGTTAAAATGTTAAATATCTCTATCTATCTATCTATCTATCTATCTATCTATCTATCTATCTCCAAATATTACACATATATATATATCTATATATGTATATATATATATATATCTATATAGATATATCTGACCTCCTCATAGTTCTGTTTTAATGGTCCAGGTAAGATGCTGCATTGAGCTTGATGTTTCACTGATGTTTTCCTTCTGACAAAACAGATATGAAAAGAAATCCCCTGCCCTTTTTTTTCTTTTTTTTTTTTTTTTTTTTGCTAGACATCTTCCATCCCCACGCCCTGACAGACCCAGGCTGCTCTCAGAACCATGCAAAGCAGGAAATTGGTGATTTTTTTTGTGAGCAGAGACAACACACTGCCAGTGAACACTGCCCAGAGCTCCTGCTGCACTGCAAACTTTGGGCTGGAAGTAAATCCAAAGTAAGAATTCTCTGGCCACCTGAAATAAAACAGGATTAAATTCTGACAAAAATGTTGTGTTTTTTTTTTTTTTTTTTTTTCCTGAAAAGTAACCTTGGTTCTTTTTCAGTCGTGTGCTCTCCACAGTTGCTCACAGATACAAGCACGAATTCTCCCCAGGACATTTCAGTGCAGTTCAGCAATAATAAATACATTCTCAGGAAAAGAAATAATCTCTCCTCGATTATTACTGAGCTGGTGGGATTTCTTTCCTTCAGGGATGCTGAAGGAAATGGGAAGAAAAGAAGTTTACTCACTGTTCGAGCCAGACTTTGCCCGGAATCCCCGGCGCGGTGCAGGCGGAGCTGGATGCAGGGCGTTGCCTTGCGAAGAATTTCGTGGCTTCCCAAAGTACAATTGCTGCAATTTGGGGGAAAAAACAACAAATAAATTGTTATCTTTGCTCGCCACTTCCTTTTTTTTTTCCTTGCAACCTCTCCTAAGAGCAGCAGTAGTTTAAATTCTAAGTGCGAAGACTGAATAATGCAAAACAAGTTCTTGGCACCTACTTCTGTGGAAATGGATGGGGTTGGTTCTGGCAGGTTTTCTAGTAAAACGGTAATAATAAAAAACCAAAAATATAATAAAAAATAAACAAAAAAAAGATTTGATTACATGTGTCATTGACAAGTTCTGAAACAGAACAACAAGGACACAGAGAAGCAGCATCCTTGACAAAGTGCACGTGCTCCCAAATCTTGAGATTATTTCTGCATATTCTGCATATTCTGGATATTCTTTGGTTATTTGGCAGGTTGAGCTCTGGGGGTGGGAAAAGGCAGCCCTTGAACAGGCCCAGACTTTTCACAACCGAGGGAATGTGACTGTCAGAGAAACCCCTCATTGCCAGCCTGGGGAGTTTCCTGAACATTTCACAGCTGCCCCAAAATATTATTTTTACTTAATGCCTCACTATTATCCCCCCTCTTTCCATTCTGCCTCACCTTCAGCCTCTGGACAGGCACAGTGACAAGAATATTACAGAGACACATCTGTGAGTCCTGAGTCACCTTTTCCTGATTCCTCCAGGAATACTGGTATATCTAGGTGTATATATATATATATATATATATACACCAATATATACTGGTATAGCTAGATATATTATATACATATATATATCTATATCTATACATATATATCAATATTGATATATCTAGACCAGTACAGAGGAGCTGTACCCTCCTATGAAATAACAATCTTGAACCACAGATAGAAAAATTGTCTTTTCCAAGTATAATTTCTCCATGTCTCCATGCTTCCAGGCAAAACAAGCTACACCAAGAGAAACTTAATTTTCTTATTACAACTGCTTTTACATGAGTGCTTTGTGTTATTTGCTGCTGTGCCAAGCAGATACTTTCCATCAGCAAAGTTTTTATTGACACAGCAATGCTGCCTGAAACCCTGCAAGCAGAAGTGGCCCTTGCACTTGGCTTCATGAATGGCTTTAATTTGCACAAATACAAAGAGGAAAGTTCTGACAGCTATTGTTCCCCAAGGGATTAGACACAATGGATTCATGCCTCGACAAAATAATGTGGAAAGGTGCTCCAGATGAAAAGTGCACTACAAGAAATGGAAGTGTGGCTTTGTCACAGGTTGACAAACTAACTTTTAGCTCTACCCCAGGCAGATTTGCTACCATATCACTATTACTGAAATAAAAGCAATATATCCCCTTTAGAGGATAACATAATTATTAGTAACTGGTTTACAGCACTCTGAGCTCTGTAAAGGAAACTAAAATGAAAGTTTTACAACCTTGTTAGCTCAACAGTTTTTCCCCCTAATTTATTTTTGCTGAAATTATAGGGAGAATACAAATTATAAGGAGAATACAGCTCTGGTGAGAATGCCATGAGGAGAAATGCAGTCTTGGTCTTTAGGAGATGTGGTAATGACAGGTCCAAGTGATTTGCCTCTGGTCTCACAAAATATCTAAATATAAACAAGGGAAAATCCCCATCGCTTGAGACTCCCCCACTGCTTGTTTCCCCACAGCAAGGCTCTCTGATGTGCTATAAGCTCCAAATCTTAATGCACTTCAATCAGACTATTTTTTAAAGTAACTCAGCTAGTAGCATCTCAGAAGGAGAATTTTAATCTGCAGCGACAAGAGAAAATTAAGTTTATTTTTCACAAAGAACATACTCATCCAAAGGTGCTTGCTTCTTATGATTTCAATCTGCATGATTATGTCTTTGTCAGTCTATAATTAATAGCTTAAACTTCACTTTGAGTGAAAACCAATTTTTATTTAGGTTTCAATTCCCAGAGAACAGAATTAATAAGACAAAAAAAATGTCATCAATAAGGTCACAGGCAAGCATATTAGAAGAAAAGATAAGCATTTAGATTTTTCAATTCCATTCCCCTGCTCACTGTGGTGGCTGAACTGCAAAGCAATAAGGTAGCTGTGCAAATTATACCATGTGAGAGTGTGCATGGAACTTTAAACACCTTAGAATAAAAGGATGTTTAGAAATAAAGCTTGTAAGTATTTTTGTACTACATTCCTTTGCTGATCTACATTACCAAAACCTATTGCTAATACACACATCAATAAAATAAAAAGTATTTTTTTTAAATGTCTACATTCTTATATGTTTTGTTTTATTAGGCATTTAGGATGACCTGGGACTGTGGCCTGTTTTTCTAAAAGTGGAGGATTGTCATTGCTGACACATCAGAAGGGCTGGTTTTTGCTAATTGCTGGCATTAAGAGCCAGGAGTTATTTTACATAAGGTGTTTAAGCACAATTTAATTTACTTTTATAGAATTCTTTTCATTCAAGGCATCATAAAATCATATATAGGGGTATCCATTTTAAATCTGAGGAAAGGTAAGAAAGTGTGAGAGCAACTTTTAAAGGTGGATCTAGGTTTGTTTGATGGGATGAAAAAAAACTTGCAGGCTCCAGCAAGGCCAGGTCTCTCATGGTAAATGAGATCAATGAACTTGAAGGCCAGAAAACAAAAGAAATTCCAAATAACAATTCTATAGCTGGGTCTATTGATGACAGACTGATTGCAGCCTGAGATCTTTAAAATGTGGGTATTTGATGTTGCAGTTGTGAGCCCGGGGATCTCTGCAGTGATGAATTCTGCTGGTGCTGTGCAGTGCCCATTAGCACATTTTTTCCATTTTTTTCCCCTCCTCGTCTCATTCAAAGCTAAATGGACTCTCAAAATCACCGAGTCTTTCAGGTGCTCCTGCAGGAGGTGGGGGTGAAGTGCTCATTAATACAAGCCAATAAAACACCAAATGAAAGCTTTTGACAAACCTTGACGGAGCTGTCTGCTTCACTAAAGCATTCTGTTCTGAGAACAATTCACCAAATCACCTTTTTGCCTTCACTTTATTTTTTTTTTTTTTTTTTTTGTTTGTTTTCTTTTTTTTTCTGGATTACAGTGCAGCAGGAGCAGCAGAGTATTTATTCCCTTTGCTGTCTCAGAACTTGGGGAACTTCTGCTGGAACTCATCCGTGAACAGACTCCAAACACTTTTCTGGGGGAGAGCTGAGCACAAGTGCATCAGATCGCTCTGTTAGCAGCACTGGGAGGAAACCAATTTGCACTTGAAGATAGCCCACACACAGGAAAAAAATTCACCCTGAGGCAGCTCCTCGGGCCGTGTTAAACCACCCAAGGGATCCTTAGGGTCCGGGGCTTCAAATTTCAGATCTCGGTTGAGGAGGCAGGAGAGAGGGAGCTGAATTTAACAGCACAATATAGAATTACAAGCTGCTGAAGTTAGAAATGCAGCTCAGTGCTTCCTGAATGACAGTGGCAGAGCAAAGTAAGAAAGCAAAGAACATTATTGACCTTGTTCCACTGCTAATGAGACGTGCAGAGATTCTACAAGTGCAGGAATTTAAAGAGTCTGTTATTGATGCGTTCTCCCCAACAATGAAAACAAAACTCTTCAGCACATACTGCACTGAGCTCACCCTCAATACAATAGTTCATTATTTCCATTTTTTAGCAATTTCTTTGAAATCAGAAGAGCAACTCGAAAAAAAAAAAAAAATAAAAAATCCCTGGTCTTGTTCTGTAACTAACAGATCTGTGTATGACCTGGTTCTCTGCTTGGTGCTCCTGGTGCTCTAATGATTAACACAGCACATTGCTGCTTCACTGAGACTGCAATGAGACAGCAGTGGGCTTGGAGGTGTAGAAGAGGCAATCTTGGCATCTTTAGCTGCCAGGTGTAACTCACTGAGAACAGAAGAACATTTGGGCCGTGTGCCTGTGCAAGGGTAGAAGTGCTCAAGATGGTACAGAGCAAAGCGAACTCACACAGGGTGACACTTGCTCCCACAACTACTTTGCTTTCTTTAATCAAACTGACTTGTTCTAGGCTACTTCAGATAATATTTACACCCTACTGCAACCATGACTGCTCCTAACATCTTCCCTTTCCATTACAGACACCTATTATTTTATCTAAGCCTTTTTACACCTCGCAGAGATGAGCTGGGATTGCTGCAGTGCCAGCTTAGCGTGGTTGCACAGAGCACTGGAGCCCTTGTGCTCAGAGCTGCTGTCCACAGAGCCCAGCTGACAAGTGCCTGCACTCCAGCTGCTGCAGCTGCAGCACACAATCTGCTCACTTCGGCTGACACCTGAATTTCAGCTGCCACAGGGCAAAAAAACAACAGCTGAGTCCAGTGGTGCTTACCTGGATTAATGTGAACCAGAGAATTTCTTCCCCTACTTGTGAACTTGTGAACTATGTGCATTCAGAAACGTGCCTGCATTTTAACGTGTTTGTAACTTGCATTCAGCACCACAGTGCTGGCTTCATTTGCTTTGCTACCACTGCAACTGGATATGAAGAAAAATCACCTGCTCTGCAGATGCATAATACTGTTTCTCCTCTCTTTGCTGATTTCCCCGTTGAGGTTTTGTTTATAATGATGCCTTGGGTCTTAGCTTTTATATTTTTTAGAATCTCTGCTGCTTAGTGTGTAACTCTGACATTTCATATTAGATATTAGTGAGTTCTCTTCACAGGGTAGTGACAAAACAATTCCTTTCTGGCTGGAGAATCAAGGACAACTGGTACCCAAAAATCAGAAACAGCAGCGAGGGAAAGGGGGCAATCCAGGGGGCTGAGACTTCATAGCCTGGGGCTGTGGGTGGATCATTGACCCCAGTGTGTAGATGAACCAAAACTTATAGAAGTGCAAAAACTCGTGACCAGGATCCATCTGGGATTTAATTTGGGTGTAGCCCCAGCCAGGCTCTTGCACTGCCCAAGGTGAATCCTTTCAATAAATCCTGATTTTATTCCTTTTGCTGTGTCTGGTCTCTGTCCCAGCTCAGCCTTCCCAGGCAACAATAACTCCCCAGTGAGACAGTGGAGGTGGCAGCATCCTCATATCCCACATGAGAAACAGGGACAGAGGAGTCAAACATTTAACAACTGCACAAAGCTTCCATAAGAGAGGATTTGAAACCTTGCACTGGGTTTGAATCCTTGCACTGGGTTTCAATCCCTGCACTGGGTTTCAATCCTTGCACTGGATTTTAATCCCTGCACTGGATTTAAATCCCTGCACTGCATTTGAATCCTTGCACTGGATTTGAATCCCTGTACTGGGTTTGAATCCTTGCACTGAGTTTCAATCCCTGCACTGGATTTTAATCCCTGCACTGGGTTTGAATCCTTGCACTGGATTTTAATCCCTGCCCTGGGTTTCAATCCTTGCACTGGGTTTCAATTCCTGCACTGGATTTGAATCCTTGCACTGGATTTTAATCCCTGCACTGGATTTGAATCCCTGCCCTGGGTTTCAATCCCTGCACTGGATTTTAATCCCTGCACTGGATTTTAATCCTTGCCCTGGGTTTCAATCCCTGCCCTGGGTTTCAGTCCCTGCCCTGCATCCTGTCTGCAGAACACAAGCCCCACTTGTTCCAGGACTTCCAGAAACGCCCTGGGAGCGTTTGGAGCCTCACACCTTTCCCCTCCCCGTGGCTCTGTTTCCAGGGCTCCTGGTTTAATGAGGTGCTCACTTTTGTAGGAATTCATCAGAGCCACAAACACTCAGCAGCCATTCCTGCCGGGCTGGGTATTGATTGGTGACACGGAGGATCTCCACAATTAAGTCGTGAGTGATACAGCCAGCTGTAAATAAAGATAGTAAGGAAAATTAATAGCAGCTTGCTCGAGAATTGCAGGCTACTACTCGAGCAAAGAAAATAAAGTTTGTTTTTTTTTTTCCTGTAACTCCTAACAACTGCTGCAGACTAGCTCCATCAAGAGGAATTAGATCAAGCCACACTTGCTTTTATTTACTTTTTTTTTTTTTTTTTTTATTTTGCTTCAAATATTCTACCTGACGTGGAACCTATGTCCATTTAAAAGAAGTGAACAATTTATTGGGCAGGTGGAATGAAGAGATGAGCAAAA